CCAAAGACCATCTTGGAAGCAACATTACCAGCCCAAGCAGTCAAAAATCATGACTTAGACCTCCCAAAATCACAGGCTCTACCGCTGCCGCTTCATTCATTCTTTGACAGCAATTCGGCGGCAGGCCCTTCCCTCCGAGAGGGACTGAGGGACCCGCCACCGAATTGCCGCCGAAAAGCCAGCCCTGGGGGAGGGCACAATTTTATATTCTTGCCTCGGGCGCAAAAATACCTAGTTACAGCTCTGACTGAATGGAATAAAATTTGGTTTAAAAGAGCAACTTTTACACTCAAGGAGTCCCAATGCACATTTCTCTCCCAGCCTTGGCCATTTGAGCCTGTTTTATTTAGATGGGAAATGTTGACCCTTTCCTTGCCTAAGAGGATCTCCTTAACCCTTAGAACAAGTGAAGAACAGTATACTCATCCTCAGCTCCTTCCCCCAATATCCCAATTCCATTGCCCTCAGGCAACCCCTTGGAGACAGCTCAGCCCAAATACCACCCTTCCCTGCAGCTGGCTCTATTACTCTCTCGGATCTGGCTCCCTGCTGGTTTCCTACCCAGTCCGGCCTGGACTTGATCAACTCACCTTCCACACTTTCAAGATCCCAGCCCAATGGATCCTGTCCCAGCCAGTGGAACTGGTCAAGTGGGGAGTATTTGCCAGGCCTCAGGAACGTTTTCCATCAACAAAATAGAGTGAGACTGAATCAGGACTCACTCATGACAGAAGTCCCAACCTCCCACCAAGCCACTACCAGAAACCCTCCCCACTCCCCAGACTATTGCCCCTAAACCTCGAAAACCCTATGAAACCATCAGAGGCAAGTGCTACAAACAGCATTTGTGATGCTGGGTGTGTTGGAAGGGACACACCCTTCTATATTCAACACATTCTTAGTAACATCGGTTACTAAATCTATGAGCCTTGTTTCAGACCTACAGTGTCTAGGGAACCCTGCTTCACAAGGGGAGCCGTCAGCAAATCTGCTCCTACATGTTGAAGAAGATTTTCAGGGGTTCGCTGTTCTCATTGGAGTCATTCAAGCAGGGACAGAAGTACGGGTAAAGCTTTTCTGTGAAAGTGTCCATGAAAGTGTAGATATGGGACATCTTATTAGCATCATAAAAGGACACCTGTCCCCCCTCATAGTCCAGATACACCCCAATCCTAGACAGGCTAATGCTCAGGGTCAGACCTCTCGCAGGTATATCCAAAGCTTTAAACTTATTTCTGTTCCTGAGCCTTATAAGCCAGTATCCATCCCTGGGTGATAATGTGTTGTTCCCTTTCCGGTTGATGGACTCTTTGACCACCCCCAAAGTCCATTTGGTCTTGTTCTCCACCTCCACTTCCCAATAATGTTTCCCTGAAGTGAATCCTTCAGATCCCAGGACAGCAACACTGGAATCAAACCTCTCTGGATTATCTGGGAGCATCTGCTTTGTGTCATCGTGTCTCACGCAGCGCAGATCTTCAGAGAGAACGAGGTTTGGATGCGCTGTCTTCGGGTCCAGAGTCACCAAGGAAAGACCTTGGTAAAAAGAGAAAACATGGTTATCAGAGAGAGCATTTTAACATGGTACTTTCTACAGAGTAATGAGGGCCCTGGGAATGCTGCCAAAACTGTCCCAGAACTGAGAAATTCTCCTCTTGCCTGGGGGCCTCTCATCAGCAAGCAGGAGAATCAGACCTATGAAGCACTGCAGAGCAGACAGAGGAAGAAGAGCTCCACACATGGCAGGGTTCATCACCAAATCGTTCTAAAAAGACCCAGCAAGGAAGGTGCAACCAAACCAAAGGAAAAACTATGGGGAAAATCTATTTGGGGGAGAGACACTCTGGGATGAGGTGAGAGGTGGAGAGAAGAGGAGTAAACAAAGGAGATGATGCTTCCCCTCTCCTCTTTCCACATCAGATAGTCCTTTTAAGTGCTTTCACTCTTTAATAAGGTTACAACGTTGCTCTCCCACCAAAATACCTCTTAGCCTAGAAAAAGGAAGCCAGCCATTTGAATCCTACCTCTTCCACTGACTAGCACTACATTTCTCAAGCCATATCTAACAAGGGTTCCCAAACATCCATCACCACATTCCTCCACCTCTCCTATTTTACAAATGGGTTAAGTGAGTACCTGGGAGGTGGCCCAAGGTTAT